AAGTACATCTTTATTTTGGTTAGATAGAAAAGGTTAGTGCAATTTAGACCCACGTTAGATTGAATTTCTTTTGACAAATTATTCATTGTTCTTTGTATTTTATATTACCAAGCCATTAACCATAATGGCGTCCATATTGTCATATTATTTTGTACTTGTAATCCGGCGTTGTGGAGTGAATAAAGTGAGTACGGACGGCTAGTATTCGACGTTGTGTAAAACTTTTATATAGGTACGACCTGTATTAAATTCTGATCTCTTGCGTTGCAGAAGAACGAGTTCGTGAAAATATGAGGTTACGTCACACATTTCGTATTGTTCTTTATAATTATCTTCTGACTTTTTATCTACCTACTTGTTTTAATATTTAGGAGAACGGCGATTAATATAAAAAAAAAATCTTTGAATTAACGCTTACTGTTCAAGCGGATCGCGATGTTTTTAGTGGGCCTACTAAAATTGATTAAAAGGTTACCTACGTTGAACTAGTGCAACTATAATATTTTACTATTCCGCTTATATTATAAAACCTTAGAATAATTAAGAACCTAATTCTAAATATAAAACGCTAGAAAAATGCAAATATTGTTGGTACGTTATCATTTTATTGTAAATACCTAATTCTATTAAAAAGTTATTAAATGACAAATTATGTTAATTTTGAAGATGGCTACTTTCTGTGCGATAAAATCGTAAAATATGTTCAGGAATATTTTCGTTCTTTTGCATATTTAACTAAACTTCGGGAACTGGAACTAGCGTGGAAGGGCGTCCATCGCACTCGGTCGCGACTCGCGACGCCATTTTGTTTCTGGTGCTCATTTCTATCGGAACGGCGCTAGACAAAGGAGGCGCAAAATAACATCGCATGGCGCTGGCGCGCCATATGCAAGAGCAATATTTTGTGTGCGGGTTTTGTTTTTTGTAAAGTAAAGTGATTTAGTATCAGTGAAAAGTATAAACATATATAATAATTACACAATGTGAAGATTACTTAATGAAATTTCATTTGTTTCAATCATAACATTAAAACCACACTGCATATCAAAATGGCGGCGCTCACCGATCCTCTAATAATCGTTTAATCTTTAACTCAGTTAAAGGAATATAGACAATATTAAATCAGCGTTTCATAATACTAATGAATAAACAATATAAAACTAAGTGATTAAATAGTGATTTTGTTTACTTCGAAATTAATTGAAAATAACAGGTACATAATTTGAAATTTACCTATTATCATTTTAAACCTTTGACTGTCGATATTCTATACATTAATTTATTATAATAAAATAATATAGTCTTATATTTTTGTCTCATATTATTATAAAGAAATAAAATAAAAAAATTATCGAAATTAATAAGTACGGTATTTTTCTCCTCAAAATGTTATAAAACAACTGAAAATTAATGTAATGAAATATACCTTCGATAGCACAAATTAAATTTTGCAATCTATGTATCGGTGCGCCACCTGCGTTGTTCTCATTCAATTTCACCTTACCATTCTACAAATTTAGTTTTAAGATTTCCTCCTTTATTCTATGATCTAAGGTTAATACTTTGAGTTAATATTAAAAAAAGCTTCTAACGAGTTTATGAAGTTATAAGTATCTACCCACTTATTACGAAACTGCATCGTTTACATGGTGTTATATTATTACTGATAGCTGATGGTCGCCGTATTAAATCTGGCAAGATTTAGTTTTATTAACTTACAGTATTTACGTACCTTACAAATGTGGATTAATTTCTTTTTTCTTTGCTCTTCTAATATTATAACTTGCCTGGACATGCCTTATCGACTTGTCTTATATTTTATTGGCTAACCAAGTAAGTACCTTGCTTATAAAACAACCGTAGATAAGGAATTGCTTTGTCTCACCGGCTTTAAGAAGGGGGAGGTATTTGAATGTATCAAAAGTTGTACAAAAATTGACAAGTCTTTTTCGGAGAATACCTATCTACATATTACGTTAGTACATAATATTTTTTTTGGTATTACAAATGAGTCTAGTGGTAGTTTATTACATATTCAGCAATATTCTTAGTTCTTTTGCTCTGTCTAATAAATCCGTATAATACATAAAATATATAAATTAGGGGTACGACTTTCCATTGTCGTCCGTCGATTTGAGTGTTGATATTTTATTTTTACAGAAAGGTTACGTTATAAGCACACACGTAAAGGTTCAACGTTCGGAGACACGTACTTTTTGAGAAAAAAATATTGAAAATCAACTATTTTTGCAATGCATGCAATATTTTTTATGTTTGCATTTATAATATTAATATAAATCCGTTTTATGAGAAAAAAATCTCCTTCATCATAAAAAATAGGGACTGATTCAGAAGGATTTCTGTATCTATTTTGAGACTGCTACGTCTCCGGCGCTGCGGGAAGAGCAGCCTCTACGCCTTTGGTACGCCTACGGTAGGCATCGGACGAGCCGTAGCCAAGCCGAAGCTGCGAAGGTGAGGAGGCGGAGGTTGCTCCCCATACGCGCCTCCGGCTCTATAAAACCACTCTAGGGATAGGACAGACTCGTTCCAGGTGGAGTCGGGGTCAATCAATTCGGTTCTTTGACATAAGTTGAACCTAACCTATTTTATTTGTTATCTGCCCTAATAGGTACTGTTAAAATAAAACAAATTTCAATAAGAGATTATTTATTATGGTATCTTTCTTGTTTTTCATAAAATGGATTTATATTTACATTATAAATGCAAACATGAAAAAATATAGATATTTTAGAAATCGATTTTTTGTGAATCGATACATCAGCTTACGATACGAATCGATTTATAAATCATTCTTTTTCGGAAAGAATCGACATCCCTACTGACGAAGACCATGACATTACAAAATGGCGCCAGTTTTACGGTGGGATTGGACATAAACATTGCAAGAATAATTGATTTTCAATATTTTTTTTTCTCAAAAATTACGCGTTTCTGCATGTTGAAACTTTGTGTGTGTGTGCTTATAATAGTGTAACTTTTCTGTAAAACTACGTATCAACACCCAACTCGACGGACGTCAATGGAAAGCTAAGCCTAAATTAGATCCTCGGCGTAACTCAGTTTCGAGGTTTGACATTTGTGGAATTCTGAGAAATTCAAAGTTAAATAAGGTTGCAAACCTGCTGCGTTAACATAAAATCTTTTATATAATTAAAAGAATCAGGCGTTACTTTGCGGAAATCCATTATATAAAAGCTTTTAGAAAAAATTTTACTTCGCAAATATCCGCGTTATAAAATAAAATGATGTGTCTTACCTAGTATGAAGAGCACCTCCCGCCCTCCCTCAATTGCGAGCACTATCCCCGTCACCACTAATCCCAGCACCGATACTCCCAACACCACTACACTAGGTTAGACACACCACTGACGACAATACGACACTTGTTTCGCCTCTACACGAGGCATCCTCAGGTGATGTGGCTAACCGCTAAGCTTTACTTAATTGGTCGACTATTACTTGTTAAGGTGGAAGCTCTAGGGGGGCCCGCGAAATTCAAATTTTCTTGCGTTTTTTGGAATTTGCAGGTCAGGGTTAGGTTGTATATTTAACAAAATATGATTCGCGACCGTAGCGATTATCTGTTTACAGAATTATTATCATTAAAATCACCAATACAACCCTGTAAGTTCATATTAGCCATAAGTTCATATTTTTCTGCAAAAAACTCATTCAAAGGGTAAAAAAAAGCGGAATTTTGTATATATACTTACTAATTAGTATATCTTGGTTTAGTTTATATATTATTAGATATACAGATAACGTATTCATGAACGTAACGTACCTTGTAAGTAATCCATGGGTCCGTCGTTTTGTTCTAGTCTTCTCTATTAAAATGGGTGTTTTTACAATATATTGTAATTGTCCCTTTTGACCCTAAATTCTAGCTTAATAACGCAGTTTTGTCAGATGATAATATATTTTTATATACTAACAATGGTAACATTACTAATAACTATCTAGCTAATAACTATATATACTATCCCTTTAACTACTCCTGGTAATCTTAAATGCTTGTTGTTAGGATTGGTCCACGAGAATACATAGATGTAGGCAGATTTAAACCGTCGACCTTTTGAGTTAGCGGTACGCATCCTCTACTGTTGCTTCTGTATCGTATCGTATTAAAATTGACACTAAATATATCATATAAATAACAATATTTATATTCTAAAGATAGTTTTAATGAACTTTGATTGTTTCCTCTACAGCATCCGATTTCTGTTATCTTATAGCTTAAATTGTAAACAGAGAAAAATAACATTTTATATTTTCCTATGGAAGCTAAACTTCTGCAAGAAATTGTTTGTAATAGACCAAACGTGAATGACTAATTCTTTCGTAATATGAGTGTATTTTATTACGTTTCTTGGTTCTGTTAGATCACTAGTCTCCGGATACATCTGCATCGTCGCCAAATTCTTTTCCTTTCCCCTCATCATTCAACACCAAATCTACTTATTGGGTTCTGTTGGTCATTTTTATTGTATTACCATGTAACATGTATGTTTGTATGAGTAGGGCGACCCCCAACTAGATGGAGTGACGACCTGATGAAAACATTCAGAAAGTCGATGGATGCAGATTGCTTAGGACCCTGCTTTGTGGTATTCCTTGGGGGAGGTCTATGGTTAGCGGTGGGCTTGTGAAGGGCTGTAATGATGATGATGATGATTTATGTTTTAGTAAGATCCCTTGTAGTAAGAAGATTAATCTCGGACAACTTCGTGTATAAGTAGTTATTAATAAAAACAACGCAGTAGAAATGAATACCTAATCATTTAAAATATATATGCTATCACTATTTATCGTAATTGTATAGTCTGCTCCATTCTATCACGATTATTCCCTCAATATTTAAGTTGACTTTCTTATCGGTGTTCTGAACAGTTATATACAAAAATGCAAATGATGTATTTTGTTCCCAAACATCTTACCTTGTCTTATGTTTAAAAATCTTACTTTCAGCAAGCAATATGGACACGGATTACGACCGTAAGTTCGAGGAGATGAAGAAGTACATCCCGTTCTTAGAGAGCATGATCAAAAGGCTGGAAAGCACCGGCTCAACATCAGCAAATCCAAGACAAGCACAGCTTGCTAAAATTAGATCTCTAAGAGACTTGTTATTGGATAAGAAAAAAAGGTTTATAAGCTTTTTATTGTTGTTTTTTTGTCGTAAAATATATATTTGAAATATAATCTGCAATTAATACTGATATTAATAAAAAAAATTGAAATATTTTGGTTTATTAGAAACACAATTATTTTATACATTGGTATATTATGATGTATATATGTTAATGTAGTTGATGTGATTGAGTTAATATTTTTATATATTTTGAATGTATCTTTTATGACGACGAAACGCAATTATATAATCATTAAATATTTTAAATTCGATATTTGCTATGCTACTTATATGTGATATGATATGATGCTAATTAAAATTTTCAACAATTTTTTACAGAATGAAAATGGAGAATTTGTTGAAATGTGAACAAGTTTTAGTGAATTTGTATGCAAAAGTCGAACAGGTAATTAATGTTTCATTTATTATAAAATTTACTAGTATATAATAGTAATAATATATAACAGCTTTTTTGTTTAATTTTAGAGAGATTCGTTCACGGACACAAAGAGTGATATAAATAAAAGTCTGAATACACAAAATGTCCAATTGGATTATGTGCGTAATAAACTTAAAACTGTGACATCAAAATTGCAAGATCCAGAAACATTGCCTGAGATAGCAAGAGCTAGTCAGACAGAAGAATCCTGTACAGCTGGCAGTAAGGAACCGGCGTTGTTTCAAAGAAGACCAAATAAAAATTCTATATCTCCAACTCGATGTTCTCTAAATAGTAGTGGAGATATCTTATCACCATCAGGTAGAAGAAGTTACACTCGCGTCCTTGTGTCTCCAGAACGTGATTCGAAACAATGGCCGCTTGATAAATCATTAGATAAACCACTTTTTTGTAGAAGGTCACCTCGTAGAACACCTAAAAAGTCACCTAGAAAATCTCCAAGAAAATCTCCAAGAAAGTCACCACGTAAAGGTTCTCCTCCATCACGTCATAAAAAAGAAAGAAAAAAGTCTTATAATCAACCTCTGACATCAAACAAACTACAAGACCTTAATATAACTCTTAAAGTGCCAGAAGAAAGTTTGAGTACTCTAAATACCAAAGATATACTGTCAAGGATAATTAATTGCAGTGATGGTGACGTAGATATAGATACATTACGGGAATTAAGAACGCAAATTCTTTCCGAATTAAAACAAACTGGTGCAAAAGATGACATATCTGACTTAATACTAAAATCTTATAAAAATAAAAAAGAAGTAGTCAAGAAAAAGGATGAAGTAGAAGAAGGGGAATTATCTGATAGCGAGAGTGAAGTTATTGAAAGCATATATGGCAGCTTAGTAATAATGGATAAAGATCAAGGTAATACAAGCTTTGACAAAAAATCAAGTGACAAAGACCAACCTCGCAAAATTCAAATCTGTCTTGTTATTAATTCAGAAAAAGAAAAACTAAATGACACCGATCGAGCGAAGGATATAGCGGACCAAAATGCGATTATCGATGAATCTGATTTTGAGTCTTATAAAGAAACTAGTAAGGGGGTACAAAAACTTGACTGCCAAACGCTAGAAGTTGAAAAGAATAAACATAATCAGGATCAAATGTCACACAAACTAGAAACCTCGTCAACTATATTAGATGCAGAAGACAATGAAAAAAGTATGAAAAATACCGATAATTCTCAAAATATGATACAAAAATCCAGTGATAAATGTGAAGAGAAAAAGCAAGAAATTAATATTATATCAGAATTACCTGAAGCTTTTACACCAAACTTTTACCAGTCTGAAGCGATAATAAATCAAGATAGCTTTCAGAGCGCAGGTAATTTAAACTTAAATATTTCTTCTCCAATTTCTAAAGATGCGCAAATGAATGACAATTCTGAAGAAAAATTAAAAGACTTAACGAAAGAAAAAGGTTCAGTGGAAATACCCTTATTAGATCTAGAATCAACTGCAAAACAAGAAGTTGTTCATGAAATAGATATATTACAGGCTTTAAAAAATGAAATTTTAAGCGAGAAAATATCTATAGATGATTCCGAAACCATGACACCCCCATTACATCAACCAAAAGTTACAAAAGTGGCTAATATAGAAGGAATAGTATCGAAAAAAAGGATTTCAATTGAGAAATATAAACAAAAGTCTATATCAACGTCAAAACCATCGACTTCAATAAACGATACCAATAGTAATGCCTACAGAGATGAACTATCAAAGAAACAAAGCATAAAGTTAACAGAAAAGGAATTCGAACGATTTAATTTATCAAGTAAGTTAGCATTAGGGGAAAGTTCTGAGGATGAAGAATTTGGAAAAAGAAGTCCAACCAATGACGATATATATGGTGACCTAGCACCAAAGTCACCAGATCATGAAGACTTTGCTGATACAGGGATTAAGCCACCAGTAATAATTCCAGCAGACCCTGTCAAAACAACAGTAGTGACTAAAGCTGACGTGGATATGAGAACATTGACAATGCAGGCGGCATTGTCGTCACAAGTAAGCACACACAAAACAGAAGCGCATGTTCTATCGCCAACTGGGAATTTTGACAAAGCATTTGATATTTGTAAAAATGAAGCGGAGTCGGGTGTTGTAATGAATGATAAAAGACTGCCTTTAGCAGATCCACGCGTAAGAAGAGAATTTAATTTACCAAATACGGATACTCCTATGTTAGGGAATGTAGAACGGACTTCGCGGTGCCATATTAACTTGACACCAAATATGACACCAAGTAGAATGTCAAATATAGTATCGAATATGACTCCTAATAGAATGCCTAATATTGCTCAAAGCCCTAACGTAATTACAAATGTGACATCTAATTCCAATGTTTATGAAATGACGCCATCTAGGCAACCATTAGAAAGTGACGATTATTTAAAACGAAATCATGTTTACGCTCCGATATTTTCAGTTGTGGAACCACACGATCCTAATGATGCTGTGAGTAACGATTTTCAAAATCCAATGTACAGCGACGCTAATTCTACCATGTTTAATCGTTTGGAATGTCCAAAAACGCCTATGCATTCATTTGGGGCTTCAGAATGTCCACCAACTCCTACCCATACTTTTGGACTATTGGAAACACCGATGACTCCAATTCATACATTTGGTAGATCTGACATGCCTATGACTCCCGTGCACTCCTTTGGTAGAGCTGATTGTCCTCCTACACCTATTCATCCGTTTGGTAGAACAGAAGTAATGATGAAGCCAAGCCATCCATTTGGAGTAACGGACTTTCCTCAAAATCAATTGCCTTCACAAATGTCTTCGACTAGGTACAGTAAGGTCCAGGATCCTAGAATTAATAGAAGTTCGGAATACGATAATTTGTCCAAATACAACGATATGAAAGATTGTGGCAAATATCAAGAACGTAATTTTAATAACAGAAATTATAAATATGACCCACCAAAACGAGCCTATGCAGATTCTTACCGAAACTACGGCAGGGAACAAAGTGTTGGTCGGCATGATAAAAATGCTACATATGAGCAAATTGACAATCGTCACGGTGAAAGACTTCGTCGTGAAAATAGTATTGGACGTTTAAATAGAAATTATGAAGTTGATCGGAATTATTCTAATGACCGCGGTAAAACTTATAGGGATAGAGATCACCGTTGTGATAATGACGGTGGTAAAATTTATTACGATCAAAATTCACGATGGAGTTATAGAAGAGAGCATAGCGGTGGTCGGGCTGTACCAGACAATAGACACATAGGGAAACATTGTGAAAGAGAAGTCCGACCTGAAAACTCATTATGTGTTCAATCACATGCAGGTATGTCGTTCACTATTGACACGAGCGTTAGCAGGAGTTTTCAAGAAAGTCTTGCAAATCTAAAGAAGGAGTCAATATCTGATCCTAACTTTCATGTAAGAAGAAGACGTGCATCTAGTGTTGGAAGATCTTTGATTCGCGAACCTAGTATTGGAAAGGAACTGCCAAGTTTAGGTAATAGCTCTTCAGTTATCAAAAGTAACAGCAACTACAGACGGGCAAGTAGTGTAGGAAGAGATATGGTAAAACATGACGATAAGAAGAATTTTAAGGATATCAAAGAAGACTTGCAGTCGTATAAATACAAAAGTGCTGTGAAGTATAACGATAGTAAAAATATTTCTTCGAAGCATGGTATCTTCCCAGAAGTTAAGAAAAAAATTAACGATCGGGATCCCCGATTGTCCAGAAGAGATAATCAAGATTTGCATTATGTTAATAGTGGTGGTCAGTCATCAAACCCCTATTCACAAAAGAAAAATTATCGAGACCCGAGACAAAGACGAGAATTCCGTAAAGAAATTCAAAAAAAATTTCATTCATTCCAAGAGCAAACGCGAGAAAAGTCATACGAAATTAAAAAACACGGGATTGTTTATTCTAGTGATAATATAGCTAAGGGTACAATTTTAGGGTCTGGGTACGGAGTGAAAAATTACAAAATTCCTAAGATAAAAAGAGCTTTAGAAGAAACAGAGAATAAAGAATCAATCGATAAATTTAAACCTTCTGGTTCAGTTACAAATAATTCTAGCAAAAAAGCGGAAGACGTAAGTAAGGATTTATGTACCATAGAAAAAACACAAGACAAAGAAAAGCAGGCTAAAATAATTGAAAAAGATAAAACAAAAGATAAAAACCGATCGACTAGATGGGAAAGTCCTGATAAATTGAACAATTTTGAACAAGAAAGTGAAAAACTATCAACAACTCTTTCTGATGGTGTTGAAAAGCGTGTTACCAGATCAGCAAGGAAGAATACTATTAGTGATATAAATGACTTTAATTGTGAGACTCCTATAAAGCGAGGTAATAGAACAGTAAAGACTGTTATTTATGATTCGGACACAGACAATGTTGAAAATGATACGAATAAAGACTTGCAGAATGAAAAATCTCAAGATTCTAAGGAAAAATGGAAAACAGATACGAAAACTAATCATGTTGATGATGATAGAAACAGTGTTAAATTAAATAATGAAAATAAATCTTGTGATTCATATAAAGAGGCAGTACCCATTATAAACATTGAAAAAACTAATGCTTCTAAAACAAATGATTTTACTATGGAAGATGGACATAAAGAACCCAAAAGCTGTGAACCGATTGAAAGTTCAGTTTCACTTGAAGATAATGTTCCTGTCTCTGTTACTGATACCAATAACTGTTTTGGTATAGAACTTGAAATGTTTTCTGATAGTGTTGCAGCTGATCCTGTCATTGATAACATAAATGCTCTTATAGCTGATCTAGATGATGATTTAGAGACTTCGAAAAATGATGGTTATAAAAACCAATTTACTAAAGAAATTACTCTCGAAAACATGTTAGACAATATTACTTGTATGGACAATAAAAAATCTGTTAGCTTAGGTAAAAATGAACAAGAAGAAATTAAGGGTACAGAAGATATTAAATTAAACGACTCTGATAAAAATATTGTAAGTGAACTATTGCAGAATGATGAAAGCAAAGACGAAACTAAAGTTGCCGTTATCAGTGAAAATAACAGCGAGGTTTCTACAACAGAAAATGAAAACATATTAGTTCAAGCAGATATTCCATCTCCATCTAAAGAAAATATAAGCCAAGTAGAAACTTGTTCTACACCTGATAGTACTATAGACGTAAATGAGAATACTCAACATAAAGTAAGTCAGGAAAGGATGCCTGATAGTACTAATGAGTTGACTTGTGAAATGAGCTCTGATATTACTTCAACCCATGATTCACATGAAGTATTTGAAAAAGCACAAGTTGATACTGATGTATCACGTACGGAGTTATCACATCAAACTGATAATATTGGAAGTTTGCTATCTATTTTAAAAGATAAATCAAAAATAAAAGAACTACTTACAATGTTAAAAGATCAATCTAGTGAAAATGACAAACTGAAGAAGAAGTTAGAAAAGCTAAGTGAAATAGTCTCCGATGATGATGATTCGCCATGTGATGAATCTAATTCGTTTCATAATGAAAAAACTAATTTTTCGATTTCAAATAACAAAAACGAAGCAGAATCCGTTGGGCATACTGGTGTATATACTGATACAACACTCAAGCCAGATAGTATTTCTTGTGAAAAGAACGAACAAAGAATTCAAAACAAAAATAATGTAGAAGAAATTTTAGACGTTCAGTTAAAAGAGCATGAGCAAAATGTTACAGTTGTAGAGAACTGTGAAGGCAAAGAAAGTTTCGAAGACACAAAGCAAAATACTGAAAATGATGATGATACAGTAGAAACGGTCTGTTGTAAAAAATCTACAAAGATTACAAAATCCACTAAAAAGGCAAAGGGTGGTAAAGTGAAAAATAAAACATCTGATGACAAAGAAAGGCCCCTACGTTCTGAGTCAGCTAATTTGAAAATGAATAAACCAGCGAATGTAAAGAAACCTTCCAGGGAATTGAAACAACTTCAGGAAGATATCAAAGAGATGTTCTTGCACGATGATGTGTTTAATGCCAGTGGTATAAGAATGTGCCGTTTAGCTAAATTAGTTGAAGATAAGCCCATAGACAAAGGTGAAACACAGAGTAATGAAAATAGTCCAGTTGTTATTCTTGAAAAAATTAAAGAGTCTTCAGAAGAGACAACCATAAAAGGCAAAACTTCAAAAAAAAAAGCAACTTCGAAATCAAAAATGTTACAGAAAGAAGCATTTGACAGCGAAAAAAAGACAGAAAATAGTAACGAAAAAATAAACTCTGAACTTAAAATGCCTACAAGATATAAACCTGGGCCTAAATCGAAAACAAAACTCTTAGACAAGCGACCGGAAGTAGATCCTTATATTTTTGAATCTGACTCAGTAAGCGAATCAAATGCTACAAATATTAGTGAAACTAAACCTCATAGTAGCTCCGACTCGGAATGCGAATCTCTTGAATCATCTAAAAGCTTTGGAAGCACAGAACTTTTAGTAGAATTAAAGAAAAAACCAAAACGAAAACGTCGAGGATGGCAAGCAGGTGTAATTAAACCTAAACATAAGAAAAAGAAAAGTCATCTTCGTAACTCTCAATCTGATACAAACGTTCAAGGTGTGCCTCATATTCCCGACTTAAATTGTTTTACAGATAAAACGTACTGTTTCAATAAAAGTGTAAGTGTCTATTCATGTCGTCTTTGCCTTTACAATGGCAATGACATAGTTCATCATTACAAGAAGCAACATCCGCACTCAGAGATTCCTTTGTCCCGAATGAGCCCGGAAGTTGCTAAAGAGGCCATAGAACAGTGTGAAGAAATAAATTTTCACGCTATTAGTAAAGTAAATACTGATAAATACGTCTGCCGATTCTGTTTTAAAGAATTTAAAAACTCCATAAAGAAAAAAACCGTATTGGAAGAATTTTTTTGGCATGTTGTCAGTATGCATACGGGTGAATACAAGCAAATATGTTCGGAATGTATTAATGTCACTAGGTGTCCATTCAATTTAGACATTCCACCTCCTCCCAAAGAGCAAAAAGGTCAACTTATAGGTTATATTTGTGGAAAATGCAATTTTACACAAATGTCCCTTGAAAATTTAAAGACTCACGTCATTAACCGTCATAATGATGAGCAAACTGAAGTTTATACAATTAATTTAGCCGTCATGTCAAAGAAAACATTGTTAGCTTTCAGTAATTCTACATCAGAACAGCCTAGGACGCTTCGGAGCAGTAGTTCAAATCAAAGTACTGTAGAAACAAATGACGAACAGAGTGATATTAATGAAAGCCGTGATAATGTGACTAAACCTGACCAATTAATATCTTTTTCATTAAAAGAGAAAACTCTAACCGAATTGCATAAAAACAAACGTAATAAAATTCAGTCACAAATTACCTTTGAAAACGATGACGCTGCCAACGAGTTATGTGACTTGAATAAAAACAAAAGTATAAAAGTTGAACAAGAACACGAAATTGATTCGTCACCATATAATGAGCCGTTTAATGATGCACCTATTGCAGATATAATTACTGAATCTTTTGAGACATTCAAGGATGCAGACTATAATCAGCAATCTACATCTGATGATATTTTGGATTACCCACATTTCAAAGTCAACTTTACAGAAGCTGGTACCAAGGAATATGTGTGCTGTATAAATGGAGTAGAAAATCACTATCGTACAGTGCTATTAATATCGTTTAAGAAACATGTTCAGATAAAACATACAGAAAAATGGGATGGATTTTGCTTTCTGTGTAAACTGATAGTCACTCCTCAAGGAAATCACAATTTCAAAGACTGTTTGCAGCATTTTCTTGACAAACATTTTGATAATTTTCCGACTACGGAAAAAGTGGACAATACGAACATTAATACTGAAACACCTGATGTGACACCTAAAAAAAATTATGTGAATGTTAGACCGTTATCAGAGCTTATATCTCAATCAGATATACAACCAGAACAATCTAAACTGCCCGTTATAGAGAGTGTTGTTAGTCTAGGAGGCTCGACAGATGAAGCATCTTCGGGAATTAGTGTCGATACAGCTGAAACAAAATATAATGAAAAAGAATATAAATATGAAGAAGCGCAAGCGGAAATAATTGCAAAGAAATATAATGTTGTTTTAAATGTTATGATGAACCGGGAGAAATTAGTTCACATATTTAAGTGCGCTGGTCGATTTTGTAGTTATTCGACCGACAATGCTGAAGATGCTCTCCGTCATGCGATAACTCATGAACGCGTAGGTGGAGAAAATTCATTGAATTGTACTTATTGTGATTTCGATTCTTCAAAGAACGCCGTTGATTTAGTCACGCATGTTTTTAAAATGCATGGTTGTTGCCAGTATGTATGTGGACATTGTTTCTATCGAAGTGTAGCGAGTCAACTTGTACGTGCGCATGCGTCGAGAATACATGGAAAGGCGACTGCACAGAGCGTCATTCTCAGAACTACAGTTACAGCACGCTCTGATACGGACTGTAAAATTTTGCCACGAGAAATTGCTGTTCCCTTCTTCGTTTGTAACCAAAGTGGGTACACAATTCATCAAAATTTTTTATTGCGTTAATTTGCATTAAATATTAACTACTAATAAAATGTTTTCAGATGTAATGGATGGCAAATGCAAGTTTAAAACCTACACGTCGGGTAAATTTTATGAACATTTGCAAATGAGGCATCAGTTGGATATTTCATTTTTGTGTTTTGTAAGTATTATTTTTTAATGCATTTGTTTAATTTATACCAAAATATTTGACGTTTCTTGAATGATTGTTTTATCTATGAACATCTGCTGTCACTAATTAAGTAGTATGTTATTCGGAATTCATTATGCAATAATTTTGTTACAGATGTGTTCAGACATATTTATTAAACCTGTTGATTTGCTGCAACATTTCAAAATTCACGGATTTAAACTCTATCAATGCACGTGGTGTGTACACGGTGCTGAAAATGAAACTGAGTTACTCGCGCATGCCTCAGAAAAACATCCAAATAAGCAGCCTCAAGCGTATTTAAGAGTAATTACTAACAAGGTACGTAGTACACAATTTTTCTTTTCCTTTTTTAAGACTTAATTTCAGAACTAAGCTTTCTTTTATTTTTATAGGAAGGAACTTCTGGATTTAGAGTACTTCCTTTGGCTCATCTAAATAATTCAAAAATTACTACCATTGATGTCAAACCAAATAATGTTAGAGGGGATCCTGAAAGGGAAGCAGAGAGGTCAATAGACTTAGAAAAACTTATTGGCCAAACAACGCAAATGATTGAGTCCAAGGTAACATCTTCCCAAAATGAAAGTACTGAAAACCTTGTATTAAAGGAACAAGAAACAAGCATGCCTTCATTCGAACCTGGATCCCTAGCCCAAAGTCAAGAGTCACTGGTTTTGGCCTTACAGTCGTCACTGTTTGATAAAACTCCAGAAACTTCGATATCGACTGATGCAGACAGAACGCCAATTTTGGCTGATCTTCCTCGTCCAGAGACCCCTAATTTAGAAAACCAACCAATAAAAAGTGATGTTCATAGCCAACTAACACCAGTACTTAAAGAAGAAACAGAACCAAAAACGCCTGAGAAGACGGACTCTGACGTCGTTTATTGTTTAGATAGCGATGAGGAAATTTCTAATCAAAACGTGGTCGATCTTTCCAGTGAAGAATCTCCATTAGTTGCAGATGTGATTGACAAATCTGGCAATCTTGAAAAAGTACCAGTATCACGTTTATTCAAATGTAGTCTGTGCAGTATGATCTTGAAAAATTGCTCTGGTTTTAAAAGACATGTATCCGCTTCCCATATAGAGGCAATAAATCGACTTCAGTGCGCATATTGTCCATTTGTGGCTGAAAGAGACCTTGTGGCCACACACTATGCTTCTGATCACTGTTTGAGTCGAAAGGAAGCCACACGTTATGTATGTGGTGTTTGCAGCAATAAATATATTTCGTTTACATTTGTGAAAAAACATCTAAAAGACGATCATAATTTGTCGAAACTGGTTGTAACATCCAGGTTAGTTACAAATGGAGAGTACCAGTTTGTCGTAGGCGAAGCGAGTAAACAGAAACAGATTGCGAAGAGAAAACTTTCGAATGAAGACGAGGATAAAAGTTTACAGCCTGTGTCTAAAATTAAAAAATTCGGTCCGAGTGATGTGAAACTATTACCCATCAACCCAATTCTGGATGAATTAGTCTACTGTTCCCTCTGTGAATTTAGTACAAAAGTTCGGTTGAATATGGTTAGACATCTCCAACTTCACGCTGAACAGCAACCAGTGCCGCAAACAGCGCCAGTCAATCCCGTTCCCCACTTGGAAACAAACGAAAAACACTTTGATAAAATGGTTAATCTCGCTTCCAGTTCAATAGCGTCTAGAGCTCCGGAAAAATCGAATAAAACTGATCGGCAACCAGTAGTTAATCTACTTATACCTCCTGAAGCAGCTTCACGGTATCCTAAATACGTACCGGATAGGCAGCGATATACGTGCGGTGCTAAAGGATGTTGTTACATATCTGTGGATGAGACTATGCTGAAATACCATTGGGAGACATTACATTCAGACGCAAATGATTTCCACTGCGTACACTGCCCGCCTTACCAACACATGGATACGACCAAACCATTAACCGCCTCCCGAATAATTGGTCACCTTAAAATGCACGATATCAGATTGTATGCGTGTTCATGCTGTTCCTATTATCACCACAAACGGCAGGTGCTTGATAAACATATTGCTGAGATACATAGCACAGGTCATGTTATGGTGGTTAGAGAGGAAAGTGTTTCACAAATTCCAAATGTAACTCAATCATCAACAGTAGCACCGACAATGGATTTGAAACCTTGGCAATGTGGGCTGTGCAAATTCAAAAGCATGCTCCGCCCTGAAGTGGTGGAGCACTGTGCCAAATTTCATCAGTCTAAGATGCAATACAAATGCACGTACTGTGCTTTTAGAACATCGACCTTAGAAAATATTACGAAACACCAGTCCAAATCGCACGTTGGCAAAGCCCAGGAGACCTTCTATTTCTACTATCGTGAGGGGTCTATTCCCGATGAGCCTGATGGCACAACCCGGTGGCAGAAGCAACAACAGAAAAGTGGTGTAACTGAAACTGAAGTAAAAACTGAGACGATTGAACGCACAGAATTGGAATCGCAAAGTGAATTAACGAAAAACGTGTCACAATCTCCTGCGGCACCTGCAGTAGACTTAAATATAGTTAAACAAGACCCAGACGCGGTTCTTGTACCTACACACTCTACGCAAGACCTATGCAAAACATTTGGTCAGTTTTGTGAACCTAATGACTTAAAGTATAAATGTCCATTATGTATAAATGTTTTAGAAGACAGGGATGCTATGCAGTCTCATTTGTATGAAGAATTGCAGTATAGAAAGTAAGTATAGCCAAAAATTTAAAGAATCTTGTTGCTTAAACATGAAGTAGACCTAAATTTAAAGTATGACTTTTGTCATTTATTTAGTTATAACAAATTAAACTTTCAGGTGGGGCTGCGGATTTTGTTCCTATAAGGCGTTCCATAAGAATGGTCTCAATGATCACATGCTAACAGAACACAGACAGAATCGTGAACCTATTGAACTGCCAGTTGATGTAAGAGTAGAGGCATGGATTGCAAAGCTCCTGGACCATCAATTCCTCCTTATTGAGAAAAATAGACAAAATTTGTCGAAACAAAGTGTTTCTGTGAAACCCGTTAATTCGGCTCCTACAACATCCAAGTCCCAAGATGCACATATGAATGTTCCTGAAAGTGATAATGGGCATAGTGAGGAAGAACTTGAGAAAGTGTTTGGTACTTTCGGTGCATCTGAAAACAAGTACTTCAATTGTCCTAAGTGTAGTTTAAAAATTATAGAAGAAAGTGCCATGCGAGAACATTTGGAAATTGAATTGAACAAAATTAGGCAAGTGTTATTGATTTGACAGTTTCAACGTTTTTTACCTTCTTAAATGTATTTTTTTTAGTAAGATATTCGCCAATGTTTTTAAATTTGTTGCTTTAGTTCGGGTGTTGCTCATTTTGACCAACAATTATTCAAAATAATTAATATTATTTCTGTAATCGCAGATGGTGTTGCAACAGCTGTACAGAGAAATTCCAGAGCTACCACGAGGCGCAATTCCATTGTAAAAGTGTTCACCCAGGGATATCTGCTCGGGCCATCGAAGCAGTTCGGAACGTGAGGATGCGTTCTGCTTGGATATCAGCAGTTATACGCGCGCAAAAACTTAGTATGAACCACCTACCCGTAACAGAAACCACCGACTCAGACGAATGCACTAGAAATAGTCTTGCACAGGATAATTCTCTATTAGTAGTTCGATACGAAGAGAGGGTTCCTACACCAGAAGTACAGGTAATTCGACCCAAGACTTCAGCCTCTGAGAGTGATGAAGATGAAGAAAAACTAGTCATCGACGAAGTGTTTAAGCAGACGGAAATCAAACAGTGCCCATTCTGTATATATACATGCCAGGACATCAGGGAGTTAAAGGAACATGTGGTGGGCCGGCATAATAATATTAAGCCTTACTTCTGTTCCTACTGTGATTTCAATGGTTACAGAAGGACTGTAATGAAACATGTAAGTGACAAACATAAAGACAAACCCCTGGTGTTATTGACCAAGGGTCAGAGGATTTTGGGTCCCCCTATAGACCCTAATCCTGTACCAGCATCAGCACCAATAGCAGTGGACAATAATGCTCCAAGACTGATTTGTTTACGATGTGAAAAATCATTTAACGAAAACGAAGCGAAGACACACCTTCACGGCAATGCAAAGCCTACGTTTGTAAAAAAGGGCCAGCTTCTTGTTAAGTGCTGTTGGTGCTTGACTGTTCATGAAAATAAAGATGCGGTATTGGATCATCATCGAACAAGCCACCCAAATAAGACTTTGAATTATGCATTTTGTACGATGTTCAATAAGAAGAGAAGTGTCCTCTGCTGTGCATACTGCAATCAGAATTTCTCACTCTTGGGAGATATGAAAGCCCATTGGAATGCAGTCCACAGCTCGTTGCCATTTCAGTTTAACAAACGTCAATGTGTGGCAGCTGTCTCTGACGAAGTTATAAATTTGTCTGATGATGAGAAGACCGGAGTAAAGAGAAAGAGTGAAAGTACATTACCAAACCCGTCTCCCTCAAAGATGTGTGCAAGAAAATCTACCACAAAGTTACCATTTCAGGCAGTAGCGAAGAAATCCACCACAAAACTACCATTTAAGCTTGAATCTGATTCAGATTCTATAGAATATTCTTTTTATGGATCGAAGCCTCAAGTTGATGATTTGGATAATGTCACAACAAACCTGTCTTTTTGTAACACGGTTGTGCCATTTACATTTAAGAAACTGAGTGAAGTCATTCGTATTAATCCTACAGTGCTTGTAGAAGATATAAATAAGTGATTGCAACTGGATGCTATTCAGTGAAGTCAATTGTCATTGTGTATTAGGATTGTATTGTTTTAAGCCATAGTCTCTAATGGCTATCCCAATCTGTGATTATTGAGACATTCTCTTTAAATTTTGTTAAGGGTTTTGTATTTGATTTTTTGGCCAGAAAGCATTTGAATCTACTGCTGTATTTTTCCTGAGTATGGATAATAATTGGTTAAAAATTGATCTTTTTGTTTTTTTTTTTAATTAATTTTTTTTGCATATTGTCTAACTTAAATGCGCTCTGATCAATGTAGTTTTACAAAAATACATGATTACACAATTATTGTAAGTGCTTAAATAAGTTCATTTGATTTTTGTCATTCATATGTTTAACTCTATGAGAAAGTTAGAACTATTTGGATGTAAGTTTTCTTAGATTAAACATTTTATTATCTCGTTATTGTGATACACCTACTAAGTTTCAAGTTCCAGAACTGGTACATTAAGTCTGAAATAATTTTATAATGTTTTTCTTGTGTTGATTACAATGGAGAATCAGGATTAAACTTCTGTAAAAAAGCTATCTTATTTATTTAGTGATCATCATTGAAAAACAAGGAACAGAAATGAGGGGAAGACTGTTTTTGTGATGTCTATGTATCATTGTGTGACAAAATTTTAAATAAAGCTCAAACTACAGGATTTTCTACAAGATATAAAAATATCTCCTTAAGCTTAAAGTCTACCGAAGAACATTTAACAAAATGCAAAAAAAACATACTTAAAAATACATTGCAATGGACTACCTACCTTTTTTTTTTCTTTTTTATAGGAGAGGGGGCAAACGAGCATGCGGCTCACCTGATGGTAAGTGACTACCGCCGCCCATGAACAACTGCAACACTAGGGAGGGAATTGCAGATGCGTTGCCGGCCTTTTAAAAAGGAGTACGCTCTTTTCTTGAAGGTCCCTAAGTCGTATCGGTCCGGAAAAATCGCTGATGGTAATCGATTCCACAAGGAAGTCGTGCGAGGAAGAAAACATCTAAATCACACAGTGGTGGACCGCCAATCACCCAGATGGTGTGGATGGTATCGGGAGTTCTGCCGCGATGTGCGTTCGTGAAATTTGGCGGCTGGGATTAATCCGAACAATTCCTCACAGCACTCCCCATGGTAGATGCGAAAGAAAATGCAAAGGGATGCAACATCTCTTCGCAGTGCCAATGAATCGAGCCGATCGGAAAGGGCTCGGTCGGCGACTATTCGAGCCGCTCTGCGCTGGATGCGGTCAAGTGGAAGGAGCTGGCACTGGGGAGCCCCTGCCCAGAGATGGGAACAGTATTTCATGTGAGGCCGAACCTGCGCCTTGTAAAGTTGTAGGCGGTGTGCCGGCATGAAATACTGTCCCGCTCTGCTGAGCACGCCAAGCTTTTTAGAGGCCAATTTGGCCTTCTCTTCCAAGTGACCACGAAACTGCACGTCACTCGATATGTCGACTCCGAGGATACCGATACTTGCTGAGGCAAGAAGGGGAGTGCCTTGAAACTGAGGAGATACGACAAAGGGGTTCTTTTTAGCGGTAAACGCGCAAACTTGTGTCTTCTGAGGATTAAGCTGGACTAGATTAAGTCGCCCGCAATCCGAGACTTTGTTCAGCAATGACTCTATTTCAGACAAGTTTGTTCCGGTACTCGGCGAAGTTTTCCCAAGAAATATTGGCACGGCTGGTGTTTAGAGCATCACCAGTGCTGTCATCCGCATAGCAATGAATGTTACCTGTTAGCAACATATCATTGATATGCAGAAGAAACAGCGTTGGTAATAGCACACAGCCTTGTGGAACACCAGCATTAATAGGCTTGTAGTCAGAACACGCACCGTCTACAACGACCTTGATGCTCCGATCTGCAAGGAAGCTGGGGATCCAATTGCACAATTTCTCGGGAAGCCCATAGGAAGGGAGCTTCGAAAGAAGCGCTTTGTGCCAAACCCGATCGAAGGCCTTCGCAATGTCCAGACTAACGGCCAACGCCTCCCCCTTGGACTCTACTGCCTCCGCCCATCTATGGGTCAGGTAGACCAGAAGATCACCAGCTGATCGACCCCGACGAAAACCGTATTGGCGGTCACTAATCAGCTGGTGATCCTCAAGGTACCGGATGAGCTGGCAGTTAATAATGGATTCCATTATTTTGGAGAACAAGGAGGTGATCGCGATAGGCCTATAGTTGGACGGGTCTGAGCGGTCGCCTTTTTTAGGGATCGGGTGGACAAAAGCTGTCTTCCATGAATTCGGGACTACGCCTTGGGAGTAGGAGTACCGGAAAAGACGCGATAGGACCGGTGCCAACTCCGGAGCACACGTCCTCAGCACAATTGGGGGGATTCCGTCAGGCCCACTCGACTTTTGGATATGCAGGGAGAGGAGTGCTTTGCGAACCGAGCGCTGTGAGAACAGCACATCCGGCATGGAGCACTCACACCGCGGGATGGTCGGCGGTGTTTTCCCCCCGTCATGAAGAGTCGAGTTGGACGCAAAAAGGGAGCCTAAAAGGTCAGCTTTGTCTTTTGCGTCTTGGGCCAGTGAGTCGTCCTCCCTGTGCAGAGATGGTAGTGATGGCTTACAGAAATTCCCTTGGACAGCCTTGGCGAGAGAGCAGAATGCACGGGTTCCCGAAGGAAGGCGAACTAGTTTCTCGCCAATTCTGCCTATGTGCTCTGACTTTGCCTTAGCAATAACTCTTTTGAAGGACCTGGAGGCGAAGTTATACTTCTTTTTAAGTGTGCTAGTGTTTACATCCCGAGTCGCCGAAGCCGCAGCCCAGGCTTGATAACACTCCTGCTTACTGCGTAATGCAGTCTTACAGGAGCGACCAAACCAAGGCTGAGATCTACCTCCGATGGGTACCACAGATGATGGTTCATACATGATAAATAGTTCCATTCCCTGTAGCACCACATCAGTGACAGAGTAAGCAAAAGCGCTGGGATCATCCGGCGAGAAGCAAACCCGCCCCCATGGGTAGGATGCAAAGAAAGACCGCATTCCGTCCCAATCCGCCGACTTGTAATGCCAAACATGGCGGCAACCTGCAGAACGCAACAGCGAAGGGAGCATGAGTGGCACCACACTCCAGATCAGACTATGGTCCGAAGAGCCGAGAGAGGCATCGACGGTAACCTGATATCCATCCGGATGAGAAGTCAGCAGAAGGTCCAACAGGGAAGGTGTATGATCCTCCACATCTGGAATCCGCGTAGGCGAAGTAACCAGTTGTGTCAGACCATATGCCAAGGCAAAGTCATAAACAGATCGCCCCGCATGATCGGTTAAACGTGAACCGAGCCATTCGGCATGGTGGGCGTTAAAATCGCCAAGGATCACGATCTCTGCGGATGGGATCTGTTGTAGCAAGGAATCTGCAGCCATTTGGACGTGGTCGATGAGTCGGTCTGTTTCGGCATTACCGCTATGGGACCTATAGAGGCACCCGTCGACGCGCGGATGGTCGTCGCTGTCTACGCGTAGCCAAAGGATGGACAGGTCCGAACCTTCAAGACTACCGAGGCGTTGAGAACAGATGTCCCCTCTGACATACACGCAAACTCCAACCCGAGGCACAAAGGAGTGCTCCAATTTGTACCCCGGGCAGGAGAGATACGAAATATCAGCCGGAGAGGAAACCTGCGTCTCGGTCAGAAAGAGAAAGGCCGGCTTCGCCGTCTCGAGATGGTAGTGGACGGCGTATAGGTTAGAGTGAAGTCCCCTGATGTTGCAGAAATTCACGGATAGCGTGGCAGGGGTCGCCTTGGTATTGTTGCTCAGTTTGCCCCGAGCAGATATGTTTTTGAGCGGAATTTTGCCGCCCTCCCCCCCCAGAATACGCGGGGCAGCCTGAGCACCCACGCTCAGGGTTGGAATAACATGGTCGTGGATGCTCAGCGAGGGATTCTCCAGGGGTACTGGTACCCTCCTGGGATAGTCTATCGTGTAATTCCGCTACCATGTTGTTGGGGGGGGGGAGGGGGGGAATTGGGCCTCCGGCCACCTGCACTCACCAGACGAAACGCAGAAGCAGAGCCTCTACTTCACGCCGGTATTCTGTGAGGTCGTGGTACCAACCCGGCTCGAGCCGGCCCATACGTGCAACAGCAAAAACTGCTGCGTGGCTCTACCACCGTCTAATTGTTTACAAAAATTGACTAAAATTACCTTATGAAAGAATGTTAAAATGTCAAATTTCGTAGACATTTGAATTTGTAGAAATCTCTTCAATTTTCGTTGTTCCTTCCAGAATTTTTATCACATCATATCTTAGGAATTTTTATGTTCGTGGACCATTCTCTTAGGTTATTGTAACAAACCTTCAAAAATATAAAAAGAAACCTTTATTATTGTAGATCGGTTAGGTTTATCAGACCGCTGATGGCATGTGCTAAGCTACGTAGGTACCTATAATAATTCTACACTAAGTTAATGATTCAATTCACAATGTGGGAAAAAGTTGGTCTAAATAAAACTTAATTCATCGCTTTATTTGTATTAAATAAAATAAATCCCAAGATACCTATATTGTAAATCAGAATTAATCTTTTCGTCGTATGTCACATAAAAGTTAGTAATAGAGCTTAAAAATTTACGTTTGATAATTTTAAGACATGAGTGTTTTTTAAACAAGCTAATAGAGTAATTACATATATATATACAAAGGCGCCGTCCTTAGGGAGCAGTAACGGGTGTCGAGCCCCGTACGGCAGTTGAGAATTTTTCAAACGTCCGCCAACGCGCAGCATCCCAGCGTCGTCCAAGAAGAGGTTCAGACGGGACAGAGCACCCTTGATAACGGAGCCCCGCTTCAAGGTTTCAATCACGGGCTCAAAATGCTCCGCTTGGATCTTACGGGTCCAATGCATCAAAGCTTCGCGACGCTCGCTAGGGGACAAAACGGAATCAGAGATTCGGTTGGACGGGTCTCTCGCGTTGCGTACAAATCGACGCAACCAAGCAGTCACTCCTAAGAGCTT